TAACAATCTCAACTTTTTTTTTTTTATTACAACCTACGATACACACACACACACACACACACACACACACACACACACAATCGGAGCCTTATTATGTACAGTGCCCTATTATTTTCTGGTCTGTTTCCATTTTGTAAACATTAGTGGCAACCTGCTAATTTTTTGTGATACGGTCACGGGATTTGGGAAAAGTAGGGGCTGGAAAGGTGATTTTCAGTCAGACTGTAAAGATCTTTGGATGTTCGAGTTGAGTTTGGACCCTTTTCAGTCCTTGCTTCTCCTACAAGCTCTGATCCTGAAAACTACTTGCTCCTTCTCTAGCTCTTTGAGTAATTTCCTGCCCACTCCGGCAGTCTTCTTCACTTGCTTCTGGCTGCTTTTCTCCCTACGCTCCCGCCCAGTTGGTTCTTTAAATCGTGCTGAACTGGGGCTCTGTGCTGGGCTGTCCTCACTCAGCCTTCTTGGCCTCTCTGACGTCTCACCCATGCCTTGGTTTGAAGGACTGCCCACATCCAACTCTGGAGACCATCACTCTCAAAAGTCCACACACTCCCTCCTGAGTGCCCAGCACACTCACTCAACTGCCCCTTCAGTGACCTACAGGCACATCAAACTCAGCATCTCCAAAACCAAGGTCATCACCTGTTTCTCCCTGTCCCATCTCTGTGTTGTCCTCACCAGCCACAGTGCCTCCAGGGCAGAATCTTGTCCTTGGAGATGCATCATTCTGTCTATTCTGCCTTCAGACCAGCTCTCAAATCCATCCGCTTGTCTCCTTACCATCTGCCACCACCCTTGTGTGGGCTGGACCTCTTCTGCCCTGCATGTCTGTGACACCTCCTGTCCCCATGCCCTGCCCCCTTCTCTCAATACCGCATAACAGCTGCCATGAACCTTCTGAAGCATAAATCTGACCGTATGACACCCCTGCTTCCCTTTATGATAAAGCCCAAACTTATTAATATACCCTATGTCCCCAGACTCCCTCTCTACCCCCATTCCCTCTGATGCTCCATTCATTCACCAGACCTTAGTGAGCCCTGCTTCCTCTGGCTTCAAAAACTCTGCCCGGTGAACCCCAAATCATTCTTTCTGGATCCCCGTTTAGGAACACTTCCTCCAGGAAGCCTTCCCTGACCCACCCATTTGGAGCCCTCTTCTCTGTGTTCCCACAGTCCTTGCATTCCCCATCTTGATGCCTAATACCTTTTTTTTTTTTCCTATTGCAGTGGCCCACGTCTCTCTTTTCCATTAGATGGGAGGCATAATTGAAGGATTAAGAGCAGATGCTGAAGTCAAAACTCCGTAAATTCAAATCCCAATTCTGCCACGTGGTAGCTGTGGAGTTTGGGATTTTATTTCATCCCTCCATGACTCATTTTACCCATACTATAAAATGATGATAATTATGATTATAACAAAAATATTAACAAATAAGAATAGTACCTACCTCATAGTATTATAAGAGGATTAAATGAGTCAATGTGGGGGCGCCTGGGTGGCTCAGTCGCTTGAGCGTCCGACTTCGGCTCAGGTCACGATCTCGCGGTCCGTGAGTTTGAGCCCCGCGTCGGGCTCTGGGCTGATGGCTCAGAGCCTGGAGCCTGCTTCCGATTCTGTGTCTCCCTCTCTCTCTGTCCCTCCCCCGTTCATGCTCTGTCTCTCTCTCTGTCTCAAAAATAAATAAACGTTAAAAAAAATTAAAAAAATAAATGAGTCAATGTGCTACAGTTCTTGGTGACAGTGCTTGGTACATAGTAAGTGCCACCAGTATGACTGATAATCAAATCAGCCCTCAGAAGAGTTGCTCCAGGAGGGCAGACACTGGATTCATTTGATCCACTTCTATGTCCGCAGCACTTACCCCAACATCCTGATCATGAGTGTCCCCCAACACTTGTGACACGAGTGAATCTTTTGTCTAAGAGAATGACAATGCATATAGAAAAGAAAGGACACATTTAGGTGATGCTTTGGAGGAAGACTGCTCAGAGCTCATTACTGACTGCATCTGAGGGTAGGAGAGGAGGAGGAGGAGTACAGGAGGAAAAACATGGCCAGGACAGATTCTGTGACTTTCCTCCCGAGCCCTTAGCTACTCCAATCCCCCTCCCCCACTATCACTCATGACTGCCTTCATCCATCCAGGACTCCAGCCATCCTAGGGGCTCACTGTTCATCCCTCTCTCCACTCTGTCCCTTCCCTGCCCCTCTCTCGGCCAGGCCCTTCCAAGTCCTGTCAGACCTTCTTGTGGCCCAGGCCCAGCATCCTCCATTCTCCCTGCACACTCCCCTTCCACCTTAGTTGTTTCAGTTACAATTGCTGTGTAACAAGCACCCTACCCCAAAGAATGGCATAAAACAATCATTTTATTCTACTCCCAAATTATGGGGCTTGGGGATTTAGACAGGGCACATCAGGGATGGCCACAGAAGCCCCTGTCCACGGTGCCTCAGCCAGAAAGACTCAAAGGCAGGGATGACTTGGTGGCTGCAGGTTGGAATCATCCACATGTCTGGCACCTGGGCTGGGAGGACTCCGACGCTGAACACAGCTGGGACTGTGGACTAGAACACCCACATGTGGCCTCTGTCGATGCCTGAGCTTCCTCACATCATGGCAGCCTCCAGACCCCTTCCATGGTGGCTCAGGGCTCCGGCAGGAGTGTTCCAGCCAACAAGCAGAAGCTACACTGCCTCTTATGACCTAGTCTGTGGCAAGTCTTGTGGCATCACTTCTGCCACACATACGGCCACCCAGATTTAAGCAGGGAGAGCAGACAGCCCACCTCTCAATGGGAGGCACATGGAATAATTGTGTGGTCGTGTTTTTTTTTTTTTTTCAACGTTTATTTATCTTTGGGACAGAGAGAGACAGAGCATGAACGGGGGAGGGGCAGAGAGAGAGGGAGACACAGAATCGGAAACAGGCTCCAGGCTCTGAGCCATCAGCCCAGAGCCTGACGCGGGGCTCGAACTCACGGAGCGCGAGATCGTGACCTGGCTGAAGTCGGACGCTTAACCGACTGCGCCACCCAGGCGCCCCTGTGTGCTCGTGTTTTAAAACCACCAGTGTCTCATACCTGGACCATGGGGTTGTCTTCTCTCCGGTCTGCCTGGCTTCACTTTGCCCAGCCCTACCCTTCCCCCACTAGTGGATTTTCCACAGGGCAGCCAAGGGGAGCTTTTGAACACACAAATGAGATGAGTCATCCTTCTTCATATCCCTCCAATGTCTTCCCACTGAACTTCCCCTTAAAATCTAAGCTCCTTGACATGCCTACACAGCTCTGTGGGATCTGTGTACCCCCATCTCCTCCCTTCCATCCCACTGGCCTTCTTTCTCTTTCTTGAGCAGAGCCCCACTTCCCCTCCTGGTGCTCATGCCCACCTCCAACCTTCTGCACTGCTGTCCTCCTTCTTGAAGTGCTGGGACCCCAGATCCTGCCTCCTTCAGCTCTCAACTCAAACACCACCTGCTCAGATCTCAAATAATCCCTAGGCACCCAGTGTTGTCTCCCTCATCATTCTGTTTTATATTATCTTCACATCACAGGAAGCTGTGATGTCTGAAATTATGTGTTTACCTCTCTCTGGTCTGTCTCCCTCACTAGCTCCAAGAAAGAAGGTCCCTTGTCCTTCGTGTTCCTTGTATCTACGAGCCTGCCATGATGCCTGGCATAGACATTTGCGGAATGTGAATGAATGCATGAACAGCGGTTTTCAGGGAAGATTTAGAAAAGCAATTCTGAACGATAGGCAGGTCTGGCGTGGTGGTGGTTAGAGTGGGGGGTGGGGGGCTGTGTTTCCAATCTGCCTCTCCCACTCACTAGCTGCTGACTTTGGGAAAATACCTTCGCGTCTCCGAGCCTCAATTTCTTCAGCTGAAACGTGAGTCCACCAGCCCCTAGCTCAACTGGACTCTGGGGTGTACATCATAGGAAGGGATCAGCATTTCTACTCAGCTGGAAGGCTCCGAGCACCCAGTTTCAGGGAACTAGGAGGAGCTAACAGCGCCCACCGCGCCCGCCAGGTGTCGCCGCGAGCGCGTGCTGAGCGGCCAGCGGAGCCTGGCGCCCTCGGGCGGCTCCGGAGGCCCACGCCCGGGTCTCGTGCCCGGCATCCTGGCCTCCGCCCGACTCCGACAGTCCGCTAGGAGCGGCATTCCAGAAGAAGCTGCCCTACCTGGGCACCCACCCGCCGCACCCTCTCTAATAGACAGGGGTCGGGGAGGAATATGCTGAATCAGTTATCCCCGCTCCGCGGAAGGGGGCGCCCTCCCGTGAAGCTGGGCTCGGAAGCCTGGGGAAAGGGGGAACCGGGGTGCCACCTAACACCCCGCCCCCCAGCTCTGAGCGTTCCACCGGGCGGGGAGGACGAGGAGGCGAGCCAGGGTGCGGGGGTTTTCGGTCGCGCCTCGATCCTCTCAACCCGAGGGGCAGTCCCAGGGCGCCAGCTCGACCTGCAACTTGCGAAGTAGCGACGCGTGGGGGTCGAACTGACTTCCACAGCCCCCTGCCCGGCTCGGCGCCCCGGAGCCGGGAGGGGGCGCCGCGGGAGCGCTTGGGGCAAGGCGTGAGCGCGCGCTTGGAGCTGGCGGCCCTGTCCCGCGGGCTCTGGGGTGCGGGGCGGGCGCTCCGGGGAGGCGGGCGGGGAAGGGGGTGGGGGAGGGACAGGAGAAAGGAGGGAGGGAGGGAGGGGCGGGGGCGGGCGGCAGCAGCGCCCCCGCACTCCCCGCGCCTCACACACTTGCACCGGCCGCTCGCGCGCAGCCCGGCGTCGCCCCGCGCTGCGCTCGCTCCTCCCTCCCTCCTCCCGCTCCGTGGCTCCCGCGCTCCCGGCGAGGCTCAGGCGCCGAGCGCGCGGACGGGCGCACGGACAGACGGCCCCGGGGACGCCTCGGCCCGCGCCTCCCGGGCGGGCTATGTTGATAGCCCCGCCGGGGCCGGCCCGCGGGATCAGCACTGCCCGGCCCGCGGCCCCGGCGGCCAGCGGGGACTATGAACCGGAAAGCGCGGCGCTGCCTGGGCCACCTCTTTCTCAGCCTGGGCATGGTCTACCTCCGGATCGGGTAAGGGCCGCTCGCATCTCCTGCACACCGTCCCGGCAAAGTTGGTGTGGCCTGGGGAGGGGGTCGGCCGCCGGCCACCAACTTCTTCGGCCCCTCGGGGAGGCTGGGTGGGCGCGGTGTGGGAGCCGTGGGCGCACAAAGGCCCCCCGCAGGCGGGCGCCCCAGGGGCGCGCACAGCTCTAGAGACTCGGGCAGAGGTTCGGCCATCCTGAGGATGTCTGAGTCTGGAAGCCCCAAGAACCAGAGACAACCAGCAGGGACGGTCCGGCCTGGGGGACTCTGAAGAGAGCTATAGCTGCTGCAAAGGGTCAGCCCCTCCTAGGGACACTTCTGACCCAGGCATAGGAACAGCAGGTCCTTCAGGAGCTCTGGAGCCGGGAGCCGGAACGACAGCAGCTCCCAAGGAACTCAGCCCCCGGAGCCCGAGAAGAACTCTGTACACAGAGGCGCGGGCACAGCCACTCCTGGAGTCAGGGCAGTCCCGGGGTGGCAGGTGGGGCTAGTCCGTGCAACAGGGAACAGGTACCTAAAGGGAGGGACCTTCGATGGCAAAAGCACAAACCGCTGCTCAGAGCCCTGACACCACCCGATTTCCGAGGACCCTCGTACTCCCGGAGCCCTCTCCTAGGCCAAGGGGACAGCTCCTCCCATCCCCACGAACACACACAAAGGTAGGACGAGAGATGGCCCTAGACACCCAGAGAGACAAGCTCGCAGAGCCAGCGCCAGAGAGACGCGGGCCACCCCGCCCCCTAAAACTGGGCACCCGAGTCCGCTGGCGCGCCTGCGGAGCAGCCCTCCCCGCTTCACTCCAGCATTTCTGTGGAGGTGGGGCCTGGGGCGGCGCTCTGGCTGCAAAGTGGGAGGGGGTGGCTCGGGACGCGTCTCGGAGCTGCAATTGCAGGGCCAGTCACCCTTTGTACTTCGGAGATAATGCGTGTGAAGCACAGAGGGGCGGGAGTGGGGGGCTTTAGGGATTGGTAGAGGTTCTGACGCTAAAGGAAGGGCCACCTTGGCAGGTTTCACACAACCTGCTTTCCCACCTCCAGCGGTGACCACCGCCGCCCCCCCTCCCCCCCAGCGTTCCCGACCGCTCGGCTTGGGGAGGGGGCAGACTGCGGGGGTTGCGGCGAGGGGGTGTGTGTGGCAGAGCCTTTGTGTTTTGCCACAACCACTCCTCCCCTCTCCCCACCCCGCGTCTCCGGAGCGAGCGGGCATTTCGCAAGTTGAACAGCCGCCGGTGGGAGCAGGTGCGCACAGAGCGGACGAGGCGGCCGCCAGCCGCTACCGCGGACCGAGAGGCGACCGCAGGCGGAGAGGCGGCTGCGGGGCTCGCGCTCTGTCTGCCTGCGGGTGTGTTTTAAGTGTTATTGATTCATCCGCGTCTGGGTGGCTTTTCTTTTTCTCCCTGCTTTAATCTTCATCTTGGCCCGCGCCCCGCCGCCCCGCGCGCATCCAGCATCCAGGAAGCCGGTCGGGCTGATTGGCGCTGGCCGCGTGAGGCTTTATCTTCTTTTTAATTAGAAACGGGGCGGAGGGACCAGGGAAGGGAGAGAGAAAGGGAAAACAACAGAAAATAACCTCCCCTAGCTGCCCCGCCCGCCGGACCTCCCGCCTGCCGGGAGACCTCACTGGCCCCGAGGGGGCCCAGCTGCCCTGGAGGGAGGGAGGGAGCTAGGAGGGCGCTGGCCTTCAGCACCGACGTCGCCCTTTGGGGCAGGGAGAGGTCCAGGTCAGGAGAAGAAGTTGCAGGGTGAATTTGGCCTGGCCCCACTGCTCCCTGAGCCTCGGGTTATCCATCTGTAAAATGGATATGAGGAGTAAAGTCCCAAGGTCCTTCAGAAGCCTTCCAGCTCCCAGGATGTGACTGGTTCCTCCCTGCTCAGGACTGATGCTAGGGCAAGTGTCTCAAGCACTATCCCCTTGTGACAGCAAATCCAATAATAATCAAAACCACGAGAGCAGCATACTTACCGAGTACATACTATGTGCCTGGCACTTTCTATGTTTTAATTTTCACAGCCACTCTGACAGATGAGGACTAATTATCAATATCCTCATTTTAGTGATGGAGAAGCGGAAGTACAGAGAGGGGATGTAACTTGCCCAAGGCCACAGAGCTAGTAGGTGAAGGAAGCTTGGATGGCACCCTAGGCCTGACCTCTTAGCTGCTAGATTATCGTTCCTATGAATTTTTGACCCTAATATATCATTACACTCTGCTGGTGTAGGAATTCTCTGGGGGTCACAGGTGTTCACAGGTTCCTCCTGACTTGGGGCCAAAACGTCTCCACTTGCCACCTCTTCCTCAAACATCTCAAATAGTCTGGCTCTAGGTGTCTTAGACTCTCTCTTAGTGCCTCGGGTGAATGAATGAGAGCTCTACTGAGTCTCCTATTTCAGATCTGTGACCCACTGGCCCCCAGATCTCAATCTCTGTGAGCCTCAGTTTTCAGATACGCGAAATGGATATGGTGATTCCTGGCGGCCAGGGCTGTTTAGGAAGGTCCCAGGTATCTAATGTTTGCAGCAGCACCGGCCACACTGCCTTGGCATATGGTAGGGATGTTGCCAAAGTTCACTCCTTCATTCAGCACGTATTTGGGGGGCACCTGCTGTGTTGAACACAGGTACTTATTCTGAGTGATATTTTTGAAGCTCCATAATTCATTCATTCAGTAGCCATTTAGTGAACCAGCAGACGGCCTCCATGCCCCCCCGAAGAGCTCATAGTCTAATAAGACAAGTGGGAACAAAGTGGGCACGCAAAACCAAACACGTATTAAAACATTTCAGAAGACCGTAAGTCATAAAGAGAATTAAGTAAACAAAACAGAGACTGTGATAGAAAGTTATAAGGGGCGGGATGTGGAGGCAGGTTCCCTTAGCTGCGGTGGTCAAGGAAGGTGTCCCTTGAAGTCACATGAATGATGGCAAGAATGATGGACATCTCAGGGGACCAGAGAGATTCCAGGGAAGGGGACGGGTAAGGACCTGAGGGAGGAAGAGCCTGAGGCAGGAAGAGGGCTGGTGTGAGGAAGGAATGAAGGGAAAGAGGGCAGGAGTGGTCTGTTATGTGCTTGGAAAGGACTGGGATCACCTCATCTCCTGGGCCACTGGTACACAGAGCCTCGCTTTAAGAAATTCCAATTCCAGAACAACTTCCTGTAGCTGAGCCCCAGGATGGAAAGTGTGAGGCACTTCGCCCAGGGCTGGCAGTGACCTTCAATAAATGGAAGCTCTTATTATTATAACCAGAGTGAGGCATCAGGGGTGAGGTCTTCTCTTTAAAAGCTCCAGAGTGCGGACCATCTTTGTGTAAAGGGAGGGCTACCTGCACCATCGCAGGGTTACCACTGGAGCCTGTCTGGGGTTATCTTGATATTAGGAAATGGCCCCACTCTCAGGCCAGACACCCAAGAGTCACACTGACGCCTGTCTTTCCCTCAGACCCTACCCCATCCCTCCCCTCAGCTCTGCCTTCAATCAGTCCATCAGCAAGTTTGGTCAGCCCCATCTGCAGCCTCCCCCACTGCTGCCAAGGCTAAGCCACCACCCCTCTTACCCATCCGTCTGTTCTCCCTTCTCCTGCCCTGGCATCCCGCATTCCTCCCCACCCCTGCCCCCGTGGGGCTGGAGGGAGGGGATCCTGTGGGTTTCCCCGCTTTCAGCCTTTCAGTGCATCCTGATGCACCTGAGAAAATTCTACTCTCTACCAGATCCTCTCCCCAGACCCTCCCCTTCCCTGAGCCTGAGGCAACAGCCTCTGTGGGTTCTTTCTGTTCATTAGCCATCCCAACAAGCTTGCTCCCCTCCCAGAACTTTGTGTTTGCCGTTCCCTCTGCCCAGATTACTCTTCCATGGCTGGCTCCTGGCCATTCAGGCCCTGCTGCTCTGCACCTCCCCAGGGTGGCCTCCCTTGACCACCCCAGCTAAAGTGGGCCCTCTCTCTTCCCTCCCAGCCATCCCCCAAATGCCATCACAGTGTCTTCATTTACTTTCCTCATAGTGCCCACCACTGTCTGCAATGGTCTGTTTTATTCATTTGTGAAATGGGTGTAGTCCCCTTCCATAGCTCCTGGAGGGCAGGCTGTTGCCTCTGTCCCAGCATGGTGCCTGGCACTTGATAGGGGTCTAAGACGTATCTGTGTAGAGAATGAGTCAGGAACGTAGGAACTGTAGACGGTTCCGTCATAGGCATCCTCTAGGTGGGTCATGCCTAGAATGGGATACACATGCTCTGTTGGCATGAAGTTCTATGTAAATAGGACTTCTATTTACAATTACTTTTTTTTAAATTTTTTTTTCCAACGTTTTTATTTATTTTTGGGACAGAGAGAGACAGAGCATGAATGGGGGAGGGGCAGAGAGAGAGGGAGACACAGAATCGGAAACAGGCTCCAGGCTCCGAGCCATCAGCCCAGAGCCTGACGCGGGGCTCGAACTCACGGACCGCGAGATCGTGACCTGGCTGAAGTCGGACGCTTAACCAACTGCGCCACCCAGGCGCCCCTACAATTACTTTTTAAAGATTTTGTTTCTAATAGAACACATACATACATACCAGAGAGTATATATAACATGTACAAGCAGTTGGGTGGGGGTTTTTTAATTAAAAAAAAAAAACTTTTTTAATGTTTATTTATTTTTGAGAGAGAGAGAGGGAAGGGAAGGGGCAGAGAGAGAGGGAGACACAGAATCCAAAGCAGGCTCCAGGCTCCAAGCTGTCAGCACAGAGCCTGACACGGGGCTTGAACCCACAGACCATGAAATCATGACCTGAGCTGAAGTTGGATGCTTAATTGACGGAGCCACCCAGGCGCCCCGTTTTTTAAATGAATGTCTGTGTATGGACAACCTTTCAGTGCCAACTGCTGCCTGAAACTTTACAGTTACCATTCCCTGGCTTGACTTTGCAGTTTTACCACATAGAGATGATTCCTAGACAATATTAGGTTGTATTTTGCATGATTTTAAATTTCATCTCAATTGAACCCAACCATAAATACAAGGGCAACTTCTTTTGTGCACATTATGTTTGTGACATACATCGTCTTTGTGTGTGTATATCTTAAAAGGAAATCAAGCCTCACTGATATTGTATATATATATTACAAAAGTGACGATAGGGAATAAAAAAATGAATAAATGTGGGTTGGGGGTGCAGTGTCAAAAAGTTGGGACCCTTGCTGGGAGCAGTGGGAGGCGGTGGCCAGGGCCAGACACGCTGGGAGGGCTTGCAAGCCGTGCCCTCCACCTTGCTGGCCTAACACTCCTTCTTTCTATGTCCCCTATTCCAGTGGCTTCTCCTCGGTGGTAGCTCTGGGCGCGAGCATCATCTGTAACAAGATCCCAGGCCTGGCTCCCAGACAGCGGGCGATCTGCCAGAGCCGTCCCGACGCCATCATCGTCATAGGAGAAGGCTCACAAATGGGCCTGGACGAGTGTCAGTTTCAGTTCCGCAATGGCCGCTGGAACTGCTCTGCACTGGGAGAGCGCACCGTCTTCGGGAAGGAGCTCAAAGTGGGTATGTGCTCACCCAGACACCTCAGGCAAGGTCTCACAGGCTGTGGGAGACCACAATACCCCCGGGAGCCCTCTAGGACCCTCTCACCTGCCCCGTGTGGGAATGCTCCCTAATATGGGATCATGACTTGAATTCAGATCTCCTCGTGAGGGTTGGCTTCCTAATTTGAATCCAGATCCCCCCAATCATTTATGGCAAAGTTGAAAAACAGCAACCAGTGGCCTGAATGCTAACTGACTGATATAGCACTCTGCTGTTTCGTTAAATTGAAGACCAATTAAAAAAAAAAAAACTGTTTCGCCTAGAAATATGAATTTCTGTCTTCTTTTAAAAAATCAGCAGATCTGATGACTTATACATGTGTGTACATAGTTATAATGGGGTCAGACTGAGAATGCAGCTTCTTCAAGTGGAGCCGGGGCAGGCCAGTCACTGCCACGGTCCCTACCACTCCCTATTACCACCCAGTCCCCTTATGTGACCCACCAGGCCACTGTGGGCATTTGCATTGGTAACCTGCGATTTGTGGGGATTGTGGGTTGCTTGGACATGCACACACGGGCGTGCACGTGCACCTGCACACATATACACACAGACACGCACAAAGCGTCAGGCCACACATTTGGTTTTCAAAGCAACTGTGACAAAAACCTGGTGGAAAGGGGTTTGGTCATAGCACTTGTGGAAAATGTCATGGTGTGTGTCTTGCTTGGGGGCCAGGAATTCTGCAGGCTCGCTGCTAAGCTGTGAACTTCCCTGAAAATAAGTCAGCCTCAAGTGTCTTTGGGCTGGAGTGGTTGAGCCGGACTGCCGGGCTGCTCTAAAGGCACCCCTGAGTTTTCTCTCTCTCCCTCAGCCCCAACACCAGCAAATTCAGTGGACACTGATGAGATCCATCCAAAATCCAGCCATTTTTCTGTGTCCTGACATCCTCCCTCTCAGGTCACGAAGCTGGGCTCCCCGGCACCCACATCATCCTGTTGCCCCTGACTATCCTGCAGACCTTCCTGCAGGCAGGGTCCTCCTCTGTAAATGAAAATCAGATCACATCATTTCTCTGCTCAACACTCCATGGAGGCTTCCTCTCGTTTCAAAACGCCCCCATCTGCCCCCATCTGCCCCCTCCCCCCTTGCCCACCCAGGCTTGTTCTGTTTCCCAAACATACCACGCTGGGTCCTATGCTGGAGCCCCAGCACCACGCATTCCTTCTGCCTCAGATGCTCTCTCACAGGCAGCACCGGGGCCCCTTTTCTCTGTGCATCTCTCCCTCCCGGCATCTGGGCCACCCGGGGCCTCCCTTGATCACAGGTGTCTAAAGTCCCCTCTCACTACGAAGCTGCAGCCCATTGGCCAAGCACTCGGCACCGTCTGAATCATTCCTCACCCACTGAGATCGCCGGCTCCATGAGGGTTGGGGCTCCCCTGTCACATCCACCGCTGGATGTTTCCTTCCTCCTTCTTGGAAGGAAGAACAGTATCATCTTGGTCCTAAGCGGGTCTTGTGTCACAATCTTCTGTAGGCCCTTGCTTACTCACACCTGAGAGGGAAAGAGCTCAGCATCATGGTGAGGTTGGCAGGGGGGCATATCAGCCCCCTCTTGCAGTGCCTCTCTCCACCTGTGTGCCCTTCTGACATCTTCATGGTTAGACTTTTGCCTTGCAACACTTGCCCTTCCTTCTCCCTCTTCCCTACCTCAGGGCTGACTTTTCAGGCGGAGAATTAAGGCCCAGAGAGAGTGTGGGCTGCCCCCTGCTCACACGAAATTGGGACTCCGATTCAGGTCGCTGAAATCCCCGTCTTGTTGGCATCTGTGGTTTTTTCTGCCGTCTCCTGCTCACATCTCCAGCCCCCTGTTCCTGGGAACCAAGCCTGGGCTCCGGCATTATTTTAAACTCGCGTTTCGCTGACATATGAGATGCTACAGATGAGGAAACAGGCTCAGAAGGGACTTGTCCAAGGCCAACAAAAGTGAAGGACACGGTCTCCTGGGACTGGGTTTATGCCAGCACAGCCTGTAGCCTTGGAATAGCCAGCCCTTAGCCTGCCATTATAGTAGTGCCTGCTGGGGTGCATTGGAGGGCTGTGGTACACGGAGCCCCTACTGTCCAGCAGCCCCCCGCTGGCTAGAATTGTACAATTGAGGGAATTCATTGCACGTTGGGTGGTCTCAAGGAATTCAAACAATAAGAGGAGCCCAAGAAAACCCCATGATAGTATAGCAATGCTAGGGCAACAGGTTCACAGGCTTGGAAGGGGAGTGGGAGCCAGGGCCAGGAGGTGTGTGGCATCCATCTCAGAAGTTTGGATTTCTAGGCGGTGGGAGCAATTGGAGAATTTTGAACAATGGCATAGCTGCCAAAGTAAGGTCATACTGTATGAAATAGCCACTATTCAATGATTTTTGGCTTGCAAAAATGGCAACATCGTATGATCCAGCCTAATAGCAATCCTGGAAGATTCATTAACGGGTGGCTATAAAATTCATTCATTTGTTATGTCATTCATTAGCTTATACACTCACCAAATTATTTATTGAGTGCCCACTATGGCTGGAGGCTGCTGTTCCAACCTGTTTGGTCAAAGAAGGCCTCTAGATTCATGAGGGAGTTGAGCTATGGCAGTTCTGGGTAATGGCATGCTAGGCAACGTGAATGGCATGTGCAAAGGCCCTGAGGCAGGAATGTGTTTGGCAGTTTGAGGAACAGTGAGGGGCCTGGTATAGCTGGAGTACAGCAACAAGGGGGAAGAGGAAGTCTCAGAGGTCAGAGAAGGAGCCAGAACCTGGACAGCGTGACATCTCTCAGGCCACATCAGGGGTTTGGGTCTTCCTCCAGTGAATGGAGGTCAAGAGAATGACAGGATCCGACTTTGAATTTAGCAGCATTGCTGTAGCTGCTGGGAACAGAATGAACCTTGGAGGTGCCACTGGGAGTTAGGAGTCTGGTCTAGTCTTCCAGACAGGAGGTGACAGTGGCTCTGGCCTGAGTGATAGCTGTGGGTATCTGCTTTGGAAGTGAGTTGCAGAGGATGGAGGGAGGCCAACGACTCAAGGGCCACTTAGAAAGGCATTACCCTGGCTGGGAAGTTGTAAGGTGGTGGCAGTGGAGGAGAGGAAAAGGAGGCCAAGATGAGACCCTCCCTTGGGTCTGAGAAGTCACGTCCCCTCTGAGCCTTGGTTTCCTCACGTATAAACATATCCTGCTTAAAGACACCAAGCAGCAAGCCTCAGATTTCATCTTTCTGGGCTCTTCATCAGTGCTCTTACCCTCATGGGGTTGCCTCTTCCTGGCAATGGCCAGCCAACAGGCTGCTTGTAGGTGAGGCATCAAGAGTGTAGTCTTTGATTTTGGGAGCTCTGGCCATCAAGACCGCACTCTGGATGGCAGGAAACGTTGTCTTTGAAGAGACTTCCCAGAAGCCTCCTGGCCTACCCCCTTCATACTTCTTCTGCTTACATCTCATTGGCCAGAACTCAGTCACATAACCACACCTAGCTGCATGGGAAGCTGGGAACTGTAGTCTTTTATTCAGAGTAGCTATGAGACCAGCTAAGGATCTGTGACTGAGGAGGAAGAGGAACGTTGATGTTGGGGTGGGCAGCCACCCCCTGGCATAGTTATCCATCCCATGCTGAGACCGGGACCAAAAGGCTCGCCTTCCACTGCCTCCTCAGTCTCCACTCTGGTCCCCAGCTCTGCATTTCTTGGCTCTGTCTCCCCTTCTGAATGTTCCAGATTTTACTGTATAGATCTCAGGAGAGGGCCAGGGATGTGAACCAGACAAAGGCCACTGGGATGCTAGAAACTGAACCCCAGTTCAAGCCACCTCAAGGTGAAAAGGGGAATTTATGTCTGCCTAAGTCACTGGAAAGTCAGGGATGGTGCTAATTTTTGAATGGCTTGAACCAGAGATGGTGTTGGCCTCTACCAACCCCACAGCTGCTTCTTGGGGAAGCAAGATAGCTGTTCAAGTGCCAGCACCGCAGCTTCCAGGTTCTAGAACTGCAAGGAAGAGCCTTAGCCTTTCTCTGGCTGCACCTACAAAAGTCCTAGGGTTCAACCTGACTGGATCAGCTAACAGGGCTTGACTTTTGGTCATGTGTCCATCCCAAACCAATCATAGTGGCCGACGACGGCAGTGATTTTGTTGGCCAGACGTGGGAGCCCCACCTAGACCGTCCCTTGGAGGAGAGGCACCGCTCACGGGTCCATCAGCCAGCTGGGGCTGCTGTAACAAAGAACCACAGGCTGGGCAGCTTAGACACAGATGCTCCTTTCTCACAGTTCTGCAGCCTGGAAGTCTAAGATCAAGGTGTCAGCAGGTTTGATTTCTTCCGAGGCCTCTCTCCTTGGCTTGCAGATGGCTGTCGTCTTACTGTGTCCTCACATGATCTTTCCCTCGTGCGCAGGCCCTTGATGTCTCTATGTCCTAATCTCCTCTGCCTACAAGGACACCTGTCAGATTGGATTAAGACCCACCATGATGGTCTCATTTTAACTTAATCACTTATTTAACGGTCATACCTCCAAATACATCTTGCCCCTTGCCATATTCTGAAATACTGGCGGTTAGAGCTGCAACATATTACTTTTGGGGAGGACATAAATCAGCCCATAACAACGAGCAAGCAGATTGTGGAATGGTTCGTGCTTTAGGGAAAGGCACAGATGGTGTGGTGGGTGCTCAGAGGTGAGACTGGACAGTGAAGGTGAGACAAGTGGACTGGACAGTGAAGATGGCCCTTGCTCTGGGTCTTCAAGGGTAGGAAGAATTTCACCAGTGAATGCGATCCCTGGCGGAGAGAACTGTGGGGCAAAGATGTGGACATTGGATTGCTAAGAGGATCTTGGACAAGGCCCTGCAGCCTCAAGATGCAGGGGGTCAGAAGTCTCGGATGAGATTGCAGGCCAGCTATTCAGGGGTCTTGAATGCCAGGGATTATTGGAATCTACAATATTGGAAGCCACAATAGTGGTTCCACATTGGTTTTATCAATTG